CTGTTAGCGTGGATGACGAGATCGGATTTGGGCTGACGTGAAGATGTCGACGTTTTGAGGGCTTGACGTGAAGACGAGTTGCTTGCCGACGGAAACACGACGGCGGCTCGCCGGGAAGGGTGACTGGCCAGAAAATGCTTGAGTGTGGATGACGAGATCGAATGTGGGCTGACGTGAAGATGTCGACGTTTTGAGGGCTTGACGTGAAGACGAGTTGCTTGCCGACGGAAACACGACGGCGGCTCACCGGGAAGGGTGACTGGCCGGAAAATGCTTGAGTGTGGAAGAGATGAGCTTGCTTAATGTTGGTGTTGGGAGATGTTGAAGAAGATGGAGATGAAATGAATAGATATGGTGTCGGGTGAAGTGGATAAGATGTTATTTATAGACCAATAGAAAGCTAGGGTTTGGTAGTCTTGTTGGGCCTTAAAATCAGGCCTAAATTTGCTACATAATCGGGCTAGTAAAAATTCTAACACTCGGGCTCGATTAACCCGGATAGTGACTAGGAAATTAAATAATCGGTCTATAAATAAAATATGACGGCTTGTAGTAATAATTTCAACTTGGGCCGAAATTAAATATTGGCTCGATTAAAACACTACGAGGGCTCGATATTTAAAATATCGTTTGGGCTTGGAAATTAATTCCACTACTTGAATAAAAAATGGGCCGGCTAAAATTACTTGGATTTTCAAAATTAATTGGGCTCGAAATAGTCCAATTATCCGACTTCGGTTCGCTTAAATAAAATTTTGATTCTAATAACTAAAATCGAATGAATTCTTCATGGCTTAGGCTTTAATACTAATTATTTAATTTAATGCAAATAAACATAATAAATGCATCAAATTTAGAAACTTAATATTTATGGAAATATACTCGAGCTCCATAAATAGTAAATAAAAATCTGGGCGTTACACTAAGTCCAATGACTTTTCCCAAGAACATGAACTAACAACTTCATATATACTAGAGACTGAGTTCACGAATCTTTCATCAACACGAATCTACTTTGCTACCAAACAATCCTCCCACTACGATGAAATACCTCCGACAAAGGTATATTGTTAGAGACATGCGTTTAAACTTTTATCATGGTATAACAATTTATACACGCGGTAACGAAGTTTGAAATTTTACCTTTATCTTTCCTTATAACAACTCTACAAATGGGTCTATGGTTTATCACTCAGTATTTCTCTAAGTATGGAGGTAGAATTTGAAGTGAAATTTCGTATAATGTTTTTTTTTTTTAAGAAATTCCACCAAATCTTAAAAAGTCTTAACAAATCATAATGTCAAGTAAGTTAAATATATTATGATTTTGTAAGACTTTATAAAATCTAATCGAATAGCCCAAGACTTCTAAAATTCTTAAAAAGTCTTAACAAAGCTAAATTGAATACACCATGATTTTTAAAGTATGGAAAAATCCTTGGAAATCCCAATTGAATACACCATAATAAATAGTATAATCTCGAAAGCCAATATAGATCTTCATTGTTAAACACCAATCCCTTTTTACTACTTGTCGCCCACTTTGAACCGTTTTGCCCCTGATATTTTTTTTTTTTTATAAAAAATAAGGCCGACCTCAAATACTGGCCAGACCGCCGAAAGCCGGCCGGCGATTGTGGCCGCTCTCGGCGGTGGTCGGTTGGCCTAATCGGTCCACTTCCACCGTGTGCGGCCGCACCGGCTGACGACGATCCAACCATTATTGCTTGTCGCTCGTGTTTTTTTTAATCAAAATTTTATTCAATTTATGTTAGATTTTAATAATTATTATTTTATAAATTAGAGTGTATTATTATGTTAGAACTAGTATGAGTCTTGTGCAGTGCACGGGTAAGAGGTATTCATTAATATTTATAAATTAAAAATTCTTATTAAAAAATATTTATAATTTAAAAATATGGAATCAATATGTAATACAATTTACCTATATTATTTATTGAAAATGTTATATAAAGTTAAAATTGTAAAAAATTACGTAAAAATGTCTATTTAATATTTATACAAAACCCTTGCGGTGCACATGACTGATAATAAATTAAATCATATATTTTTTTTTAAAAAAAATAAGTGTCATTTCAAAAATTTTATTCAGAAATTCGATTTGACTATAATTTGATTCCATAAATTAGTTATTTTGGTAAAATTTTATCATATATTTATCAAATATTATGACATTCTTTTTAGTCTTTAACTATTTTTTTTCATCTTTCCTTTTCTTATTTATTTATTTATTAATGTACTATTTTTCATAGACTATCTCTTTTCCATGTTATAGATGGAAGAATTTAGCTGGAGGGATATGAATGGTGCCCTACTCCTAGCAAAAAGGCAACATATATATATATATATATAGAGAATGGATCATATGAGAAAGAGAGACAATGAAAGAAATAAGAATAAATCAA